GAAAATGTGAAGCATTGATACGGGTTAAAAGGTGAAAGGAGCCAAGCATAAGTGGCACACTTTTAATCCCAGCCTTGGGAGGCAGAGGCAGGTGGATCTCGGTTCCAGGCCAGCCTGGTCTAGCAAGTTCCAGGACAGACAGGGCTGTTACACAGAGAAACCCTGTCTCAAAAAACCAAAAAAGACAATAAAAAGTCAGACAAGGGCCAGGGGTTGGCTCAGCAAGCAAAGGTGCCTGCTATACAAACCTGCCCAGGTGAATTCAGAGCCCCAGCACCCACATACAAGCTGGAGAGATGCAGTAGTGCTTGTATCTGAATTCTCTACCTACCGCTCTGGGAAGGTCAGAGGTAGAGACAAACAAGTCATAAACTCGTGGGCCAGCTAAAGCAGTGGACAGGATGACCCTATCACAAACAACGTGGACGGTAAAGAGCCACGTCTAAAGTTAGCACAACTCTGACCTCTACACGAATGCTGTAGTGTACGCACACCTATACTCACACACAGGAACGTTTACACACACAGCACACATGCATGGATCCTACTGCAAACCACTCATATACTAAGTGAAAAAACAGGACCAGATGTGGTATACACCTATAACCCAAGCACTCTGGAGGTAGAGGCAGGAGAATCCCAAGTTCAAAGTCATCCTCAGCTCCATAATGAGTTCCAGGCCAGCCTGGGCTACTGCATGAGACCCTGTTTCAAAACAGAAAAACCAAAGCAATTGGTCAGGTGATGGTGTACACCTTTAGTCCTAACACTCAGGAGGCAGAGACAAGCAGATCTCTGTGAGTCTGAGGCCACCCTGGTTTACATAGTGAGACCCTGTCACACACACACTTCTCCCACAAAAGGAAGCAACTTCAACAATGAAAAATGTGAATCAGAATCCCTTCTGCTGCATTTCTGCCCAACCCTCTTCCATAGGTAGCAAAGTTGGTTAGTTTCTGGTCATCTTCCTTTTATTTAAGATTATTTTTTATTTATGTGTATGTGTGTGTTTATGTGAACCATGTACATGCAGGTACCCACAGAAGCCAGTAGAGGGCATTATATCTCTGGAACTAGAGTTATAGGTGGTTGTAAACTGCCCAGTGTGGGTGCTGGAAACCAAACTGAGGTCCTCTGTAAGAACAGTAGACACTCATAAGAGCTGAGCCATCTCTCTCCAGACACCTTTCTTGTGTTTCTCTAATAGAGACACAGAAATGTGTGTTCATTGGTGTGAGCACACACATGTGGGCTGAGAAGTACATTAGAAGCTTTGGTGCTGGGAATGTTCTCTTATCTTGGTGTGGGTTATATGTGGTCATTTTGTGATATTTCAAATCATAATTGTAACATACACTTTTCTGTATTTGTACAGTTGACCAATATGCTGGAAAAAAAAAAAAAAAAAAACAACAAAAACAAGATTAGCTGAGTGTGGTGGTACCTGTCTGTAAACCCAGCACTTGGGAGGCAGAGGCAGGAGGATTAGGAGTTCATGGTCATCCTTCGCTCCTAGCAAGTTGTAGAGAACAGCCCGGGCTACATGAAACCTTGACTAAACAACAAAACCCCAAACCAGAAACAACCTAGTTTCAAAACAAAATTCTAGGGCCAATGAGATGGTTCTGATGGCATTTGCCAGGCCAACCTGACCGCCTGAGTTCGATCCCCAGATCCCCCAGTACAAGAGAACCAAATCCTGGATGTTGTCCTCTGGCCTCCACACATGCTGTACCCTCACAATGATAATTATAATAAAATTCTAAACCCCTGTATTGCTAAAATTGCAGAATCCTTTCTGGTCTAGATTTTATCAATGACTCTACCTCAACACAATACTGAGTATTTAATCTGTATGCCACACATGTTCTCACTGAGCTAAACATCACCAGCCCATTTATTTTAAGATGAATCTCACTACTAGATAGGCCTTAACACTTTCATCCTTCTGCCTGAGTCTCCCCAGCAGCTGGGATTACAGATGTGTATCATATCCAGCTTTAACAGCTTTTTTCTTTTAGATCAAATAAAAAAAAATGTTTTCAAAATTTTTTCCTATACCCAGAAAGTTTTCCCCATGTAGAAACAAATTATTATTCTCTTGTGTATTTATCTTTAACAGTTACATCAAATTACAGGGTGTCGAAATAGCACTGTAAAACTGCACAGATTTTAAAGAAGTTTCTTGTTTGGTTCTGCTTGAGGCAAGATCTTACATTACTATATAGTCCTGGCTACCTGGAACTTGCTATGTAGACCAGATTGGCCTCAAACTCAGAGATCTGTTTGCCTCAGCATTCCAAGTGACAGGACTACAACTGTGAAACACCATATACAGCCTAGATTTTAAAGTTTTAGTTAACAGATAAGGCTATGCCATAGAAGTTTGTTTTGTCTGGTTGGTTGATTTTTCAAGACATAGTTTCTTTGTGTATTCCTGGCTGTTCTGGAACTCGCTCTATAGATCAGGCTGGCCTCGAACTCACGGAGATCCTACTGCCTCTGCCTCCCGAGTGCTGGGATTAAAAGCATACACCACCACCACCAGCATAGAGACTTTAAAATCAAGTATTTATTTGGAAAAAGTCTTTGGAATATAAAAGCCAGATATGGTGGCTCATGCCTGTTATCCTAGCACTGGAGAGGCCGAGGCAGAAAGATAACTGAGAGTTTAAGGGTAGCCTGGGACACATAGTGAGTTCTAGGACAGCAACTTGAGTTACAGAAGCACCATCTCAAACAGATCTTTGGAGTATATGAAGCAGGAAAAATGACTGATGTCACATTCCATCACCATGACAAAATACCTTGGAAAAGAGCATAAGTATTTATCTTTTTATTAATTTCTTAAATTTTTTTAAAGATTTATTTATTTATTATGTATACAGTGTTCTGCCTGCAGGCCAGAAGAGGGCATCAGATTTCATTACAGATGGCTGTGAGTCACCATGTGGGTGCTGGGAATTGAACTCAGGACCTCTAGAAGAGCAGCTGAGCTGTCTCTCTAGCTCCCTTTTTTATTAAATTTTAAAAATTTCATATATTACAGAGTGGTACACATCCCACAGATGATATGTGGAGATCAGAAGACACTTGCAGAGGTCTGTGTTTCCCCTCCACTCTATGGACGCAGGGATTAAACTTTAGTCCTCAGGCTTGGAGGCAAGCCCTTTACCCACTGAGCCCTCTCGCTGGCACCATAGCGTGAGGATTATTCCAGCCCACGGCCACTTGTCCTTTACCTCCATTGTGGCAGGCAATGCGTGGAGGGATAAAAAGGCTCAACTCGCTGGCGGTGGTGGCGCACGCCTTTAATCCCAGCACTCGGGAGGCAGAGCCAGGCAGATCTCTGCGAGTTCGAGGCCAGTCTGGGCTACAGAGTGAGTCCCAGGAAAGGCGCAAAGCTACACAGAGAAACCCTGTCTCGAAAAACCAAAAAAAAAAAAAAAAAAAAAGCTCAACTCACGGTAGACGAGGAGGCAAGAGAGAGGAGCCTGGGGACAAGATGAGCCCTTCAAAGGTACATCTCCCATGACCTACTTCCTCCAATAGGAATCAACTTCTAAGGAATCAATAGCAGCCACCACCCCCCAACTCACCCAAGAGCACTACCAGGGAGAGCAAGTATTTAAAAAATAAACCTATGGGGATATTTCAGATTTAAATCATAACAATAAAGACAGCAAGTCCATCTGAAATGAATGACTAATAGGTCAAATGTGGATGTCTTTTCTCAGCTGAATTTCAATAAAACCACCACCTTATTAAGGACATTCTAAAACAAGCATTAAAAACTGAGTTCTTTAAAAGGGCAGAACTGGTCACACTTGGTTTTACCTATTCACTACTCTAGTGCAATTGCCAAGTTTTAAAAATAACTTCTAATTTGGGGTGGGAGCAGGGAGGTACATGTCTGTAACCCCAGCATTTGGAAATCTTAGGCAGGACAATCCCCAATTCTAGGCCAGGCTGGGCTACATAGCGGGATTTGGTTTCAATGTTAGGCAAGAGGTACCAACTAATGCAGCAGTGGTATGAGTGTTAAGGGAGTAATCAACCACTTTCTGATTTAATCTGGGGCCCCACTCCCCAAGAGGATATCCAAGCCTGGTTCTGTAAAACTGGCCAAAAGCCCTTGGCCAGGGAAGTCATGTTCTTATGGAGAATCCACTATTGTTCTGCAAGATAGTCATGTTGTCCAACTGCTGTCTAAGTATTATATTTATGGCTGAAGATTTATGCTGCTCTCAACCTTGGTCAGGGGAGCTTCTGTTTGCAGTGAGGAATGGTTAATTCAGAGACTTGTACCTTATCAAAGTGATGGCTGAGTGTTCAGCTCTGAATGGGACACCTAGATCAATATCTGCTCCTCAAGCTCAAGGAAGATCACCCAAGATGGGGCAGAGATAATGTAAACACTGGGCAGGAGTGTTGTTGAAGGCTGTCTTCTGGATTTGACATAGCTGCCACACCTTCAATTCACAGTAGCCATGCCTGCAAAGGTCATGGGGTCAACATTCCAGCAGGGATGGGGAGGGGATCACAAGGCCCCACTCTTAGCTAAGGACTATGGACGATTTTGTTGCTGTGGGAAGGAATCATTTTTCTCCAGGCAGTGGTGGCGCACGCTTTTAATCCCAGCACTCAGGAGGCAGAGGCAGGCAGATCTCTGAGTTTGAGGCCAGCCTGGTCTACAGAGCTAGTAGTTCCAGGGCAGGCTCCAAAGCTACAGAGAAACCTTGTCTCTAAAAAAAAAACAAAAAACAAAAAAAAACAAAACAACAACAACAAAAAAACCACAACCACAGAAAGCAAAAAGCAAAGGGGTGGGGAAAAATTAGTACTGATCCGGAACTCCCAAATTACATTTGCCTCTGAGAAAGATCAGAATGCTTTGTAATCCTATTAAGTCAAACAGCTGAAATTACTAACAAATTTCATTCCTTATCTGACAAATCAACTGGAATACAAGAAAAGGCAACACGTTGTTTGACCCTGACTGCAGAGAATAAATACTTTATTAACTGATTACAGTTGAAAGTCACGAACAAAAAGGAGTCTATTAAGGCAGAGCCATATATATATATACATATATATATATATATATATGTATAGACAACTGCAAAGCCGTTCTCTCTTTACATGTTCATAACTTCCGCAGCTCTCACACTCAGGTGGTGTGCTTTCTTTCGTGATTAGAGGTGCATCTTGGCCAATGGTTCTTGTCCTTTCGATGGTGACTTCAGAATCACGGAGTGAGACGACTGTGCCTCAGGTGTGACTACACTGCCGTTGGTGTGAGACCTGACAGCTGATCAGTGTTCTTCAGAAAAACATGGTATCTTTAAAAATGATTGGAATAGTCTTACCTAAAACAAGTTTAGACTTCTGAGTTAATCAACTGCCCAAATTACATATTTTTCTGCCCTTCCCTAAATGCTCCTGTATGGCTTATATGGCCCAGAGAACAGGATCACCTAGTTCTATTGCAGTCTTATACAGTTTGAGATTTTTTTTTTCAAAATCCAAAATTACTTCCTTTTGCAGAACAGCAATGCAAACAGTTATTCTACATAATGTAAAATTGTCTTTCTTCTGTGTAGCTCCTCTTTTCAAAATGGGCAGCCACAGGGGAAAAAAAAAAGGACATAAACTTTGTCTGTAAAAGCTTCCAGTCCCCTAATTCCAACTTGGAGGGAAAAGGCAGAGGCAAGCTGACGTTACCCAGAAGAAGGAACAAATGGCTTTGTTTGGTATCTTCAGGAGGCTTCTCCTTCCGTAGGAGACGTAGGTGTTGTAGGAGAAACGGAAGCAGGTTTCCGTGTGATTCTGTCTAGCTCTGCGTGAACATCTGAGAGCACAGGCTTCTGGCCTACAGTGCATTTCAAAACGAACAAGAGTTAGACACAGTCTTCTCCCTAAAACTGGCCAAGGCTTTCACTGCTTTACACTTTCTCCTAAGGCCGCCCTTAGCGGCTACGGCAGACAGCTGCCGAGTTCAAGGCTGAGGAGGCTCCACAGCAAGACCCGGTCTTGGGGTGGGGGTGGCAAGAGAAAACAACAGCTAAGCAGGGTGGCCCATACCTATAATCTCAGCACTCAGGAGGCTGAGAAAGGTGAACTGCAGTAAGATCACAGCTAACCTCAACTACATAATGAGTTTGAGGCCCTATCTCAAAAAACAAAAACAAAACCCCAACAATAAAAAAATGCTATGTAGCCTACTAAATTATATAAACATCCTTAAAAATACAGGTCCTCCTTTTAACCTGAGGGGCAGTGCACTGGTAGCTATCATTTAACCTCACATGTGGGGTTGCTGTTTCTATTTTAGGGCACAAGGCAGTGAACATCCAGTCAACAGCAGAGCTGGAGATCTGGAGAGAGGAGCGAGAACTGCCTCAAAATGAGCAGTGAATACAGGTCAGGGGCCCAGAGCCCCCCTAACCTGCCGAGGGGTAACAGGTCCAACTCTCTGAAACTCCAGCCATTCTCCAATCTTTAAATATAGAGGTTGGTGTGAAGGCTCAGCAGGTAAAGACACTTGCCAACAAGACTGATGACCTGAGTTTGATCCTTGGGACCCAAATGATAGAAGAAAACTGAAACCAGAAAGTTGTCTTTTGACCTCCCCACACAAATTTAACATAGAATCAGGACAAGACCCAGGAACTCCAATCTCAAATATTGTCCCAACTAATTAAAAATGTAAGTTCACATAAAAATTAACATTCATAGCAACATTATTCAAAATGGCCAAAAGAGAGAAGGAAGGAAGGAAGGAAGGAAGGAAGGAAGGAAGGAAGGAAGGAAGAAGAAGAAACAGCAGCCAAATGAAATGTGGCTTTTATGTACATCACAAGGGTGTGTTATTGAGCCATGGAAAGAAAGGAAGCTGTGACACAGGTCACTACATGAAGGAGCCTGAGAACACAGAGAACAAGACACACTGCTAAGACTGCAGGGGCAGGACGGCCAGCTAAGCAGCCCCAGACAAGGCGACCAGCGGCCTAGACACTGGAAAGCATGAAAAGTTTGAATTTCTTCTGAGAGATGAACATGATCTGAAATTAGATTCTGGGACAGTTTCTAAAGCCACATGTGACTTCATCTGTCCGTCATACCCAGTAAGGCTACACTCCAAGAATAGTGCCCTGCTCAGGAAACTCTACCTGACTTTTTGGCGGAGGGTGGCAAGCCAGTGCTTCCCCCTGGAGCCCCTCCTCCAGGACTGCCCCCGACCCCGGGGCCTCCAGGGGAGCCAGTCTTCTTACTCAACAGACTGTTGAAGAAGTTGGCCAGGACACCTTCGCTCGTTGCTCCAGCTTTAAAACAACAAACAAAAAGCATTTTAGAACAAAGATTCCATTTTTTCATAAGTTATTACAAACTACTTATACTTTCATCTACTCATACACAAAAGTAATTGCAAGGATAGATTTTTACTCTCAATTTTATTCTTTATTGTTGTATATGTGTACTGTCTGTCCTTCTGTACACTGTGAATGTGTTGCTCTCACTGGTTGATAATAAAGCTGTTTGGCCAATGGTGAGGCAGAATAACGTCAGGTGATACAATCAAACTGAAGATGGAGATGAAGAAGGGCAGAGCTGAGGCAGATGCTGTGAGCAGCCCATGAAGCAAGATGCAAAGGCACCAGTAAGCCAGGGGTCATGTGGCGATACATAGATTAATAGAAATGGGTTAATTTAAATGTTAAGAGGTACTCAGTAATAAGCCTAAGCCATCAGCCAAGCATTTATAATTAATATAACCTCTGAGTGGTAATTTGGGAAGCAACTATTGGGTATAATCAGTCTTACAGGACAGAAAGCTCCACCTCCAGTTACATATGTGTCTGATCTATAGATCTATGTGTGAGCATGCGGGTGGTAGTGGATGTGGCAACACTGTACATGTGTAGGCCAGAGACAGCTTGATGGAGTTGGTTCTCTTCTTCACATTAAATATATTCAGGGTCTGTACTCAGGTAGCTGGGCTTGTGCGGCAAGGACTTTATTTGCTAAGCGATCTTGCCAGCCCTAAAGCGGTATTTTAAAGGGCCAAAAGTATTTTTTATTTTATTTATATTATAGTGTGTGTGTATGTATGCATGTGGACCACATTGTGTAGGAGCCCACAGAGATCAGAAGAGGCATCAGATCCCCTGGATTCAGCAGCCATGCAAGTAATGGGAACTGAACCCAAGTCCTCAACAAAAGCAGCCAGTGCTCTTAACCACTGAGCCATCTCGGCAGCCCTGGTCCAAACTCATTTAAACATATGTGTTAGATGCTAATGTATCTTTCCCTTCCCTTTTTAAATTCTTATTTACTCATTCATTCAGGGATCCACCTGCCTCTGCATCCAGAGTGCTAGGGTTAAAGGCATGTGCCACCACTGACCAGCTACCTCTCCCTTCTAAAAGAGCTTCATAATCTTTTTTACATTTATTCTGTGTGTGTGTGTGTGTGTGTGTGTGTGTGTGTGTGTGTGTGTGTGTAGGTTACAGGACAACTTGCAGGAGTGGTTCTCTCCTTCCACCATGTGGGTAGTTCTAGGGATTTAACTCGGGTTGTCAGGGTTGGTGGCAAGTGCCTTTACCAGCTAAACCATTTCACCAACCCTAGGTTACCTATTAACTATCAGAATTAATTTCTCCAATGTCTCCCATAGGAGAATAAGTAAAGCTTTCATCATAAACACAGTGATGCACTGAGAAGACACTGTGGTGTTTACAGCTGATTATGAGCTCCTATCTACCAAACAAAGCTAAGGAGTATGGAGCAGAAAAGGAAAACATTTTAGTAGATTCCAGACAAGCATATTCATTATAAAATGTACTGCACTGCTTCCTCCAAAAGACAGAGCTATACCTTTCATGTTCGGATCAATTTTTTTTGATCCCGCAGGGATGGGGGACACACTGGCAACATTGGATGACACAGATCTGTTTGGTGTTCGAGGGGAGCCTCCAGGGACTCTTGGTGAGGCATCCTAGGTAAAAATGAGAAAAGCACAAATACTAAAAATTAAAACCTTCACAATATTAAAAAAACATTCTGCTACCATCCCCACCTACACTACTAGCTTTTACACTACAGCTCATTGACAAAAATGCCAATAATCTCGGCCTCATTATTAGGAACAGCACAGACCCATCATGTTTAGGATACCAATCACTGCACTAGTGGAGAGGGAGTAATGCATTGGATAATGAAGTACAGCTCTGAGCACAAGCTTGGGAGGCAGAGCTCGTTTCCCAGCTGCATGATCAGGAAGTCATGATGTCCTCCTAGTCCCACGACCCATCTACATCGTGGAACTATTCTATAACAGGACTCCTCTGTAAGGCTGTCTTGAGGGTTTGTAAAAGAACACACACACACAGTTTGTGTGGTGACATACAGTAATACGCAGGTATAGAAGGAACATGGAAGAGATTTTTACATTTCAATGTTCTACAAAGGAGTACAGATTCTCTAAAAACATCTCACAATTCCAGAAGAATTACCAACTGAAGTTTATATTGAAGCATACACACTGTGTGTGTATGTGTGTGTGTTTAAGAGAACTACAACAGCATGTATTGAACATTAATAGTTTTGTCAAAGTCTATAATACTGACCACAGGTCTTCCAGCTGCAGTTGGTGGTTGCTTTGCTAAAAGGGACTGGGGGGAAAAAGAATTCTAGTTTAGACATGCATAGCTTACATTACTGTCTTTTTAAAGACAATAGACACAGTTTTTTTATTTTTTAAAGACAGGGTTTCTCTGTAGTCCTGGCTGTCCTGGAACTCATTCTGTAGACCAGGCTGGCCTCAAACTCAGAGATCTGCCTGCCTCTGCCTCCCGAGTGCTGGGATTAAAGGTGTGTGCTACCAGCACCTAGCCACATCTTAACTTTTACATCTGTATGCACATTAACCTTAAAAGTAACCATGGGCCAGGCATAGTGATATACCTTTAATTCCAGCACTTCTAGCCCTCAAGAGGAAGAGGCAGGTAGATCCTTGTGAGTTCCAAGCTAGCCTGGTCTACACAATGAGTTCCAAGCCAGCTGGGACTACACAGTGAGACCGTGTGTCAAGAATAAATAAATTAGCCAGGTGATGGTAGTGTCCAACTTTAATGGAAGATAGAGGCAGGTGGATCTCTGTGAGTTCAAGGCCAGCCTGGTCTACAAAGCAAGTTTCAGGACAGCTAGGACTGTTATACAGAGAAACCCTGTCTCAAAAAGCCAACCAACCAATCAATCAATCAATAAGTAAATAAATAAGAGGCTGGGAAGGTGGCTCAGCAGTTAGGAATACTAGTTGCTCTTACAAGGACCCGGGTTCAATTCCCAGCACCCACACAGCTCACAACCACCCAAACTCCAGTTCTAGGAGATCCTATAGCTCTCTTCTGACTTCCTTGGGCAGTAGGCACACACATAGTACACATACATATGTGCAAGCAAAAAACTCATATACAGAAAATATTTTTAATTAAAATAATTTAATTTTTAAAAAAGTAAAAGCAGCTGGGTGGTGGTGGCACATGCCTTTAATCCCAGCACGTGGGAGGCAGAGGCAGGTGCATCTCTAGCCTGGTCTACAGAGTGAGTCCTAGGACAGCCAGGACTACACAGAGAAACCCTGTCTCACAAAACTAGAAAGTAAAATAAAATAAAAGCAATCTCTGGCATGATGGTTAAGAGGGTAAAGACATCTGGCATCTAGACTAATGATCTGAATTCAATTCCCAAGAGGACCAACCCCCAAAACTCATCATCAGTGGCATGCATGCACACCTCACCCCACCTCATACACATTAAATAAACAAATAATGTAATAAAAATTTAAGGATATGATAGATATATAGATATGCACAGGGCTTGAAGGCAAGTTAAATCATCTTTGCATAATTAATTCTACAAAGACCACCTCTAACATGACTTCATACCTGTAACTTCATAAGAAACACTTGGTCATCTTCTGCCATGATCTCCTTTTCATGCACAAACTGAAAGGAGTAAGGTGAACGAAAGGAGTAAGTTGAATACATTTTGCTACCACCAACCATAACTGTGTGTCTTAGACTAACTGAAAGATAGTTCAAGAACTTGAACTTTATCTCTTCTTACATAAGTCATGCCCTAGCATGGTGTGTAATTTTGCTAGCTTTATACTGAAAAGCTACACACAACCAGTGACCAGGACCGAGCTGTATCCCCAGCTCTGACACTCTCCCTTCCTGTCTGAGCAGCCACTCCTACAGCAGACCCTCAGGCCTAGTCTTCTAGTGGCACCACACCCTGCTCATCTCCACACTTTCCATCACCACTCACGACCCATGTATTAGAGCTCATGTCGTTGTTTTAAGGCAGCATCTCACTCTGCAGTTCAGGCTGGTTTGGGACTCATTACGTAGAACAGGCTGGCCTCAAACTTCTGGCAATCCTCCCAGCTCTGTTTCCACCAGGCCCAGTTATATACCTTATTATTATTATATGTGTATCCTTCTCCTTCCTAGTTAGCACTTTGTACCTAAACAGTGCCCGAGTGCAGTGAATGAAAGAGAAGGACGCCATAAAGTGTAATCATGATGGCTAAAAGGGGGGTGGGGGAGGCGGCTCAGCAGTTAAGAATGTGGACTGATCCTGCAAAGGACCTGAGTTAGGTTTCCAACACCAACACTGGGAAGCTCGCAACTCAACTCGCTCTAACTCTAGCTCCAGGGCATCCAATGCCCTCTCCTGACCTCTATAGGCAACTATGCTCCTGCGTACATACACCCACACCAACAAACATGCCTATATACAAATAAAAAGGGGAGTATTTTTGTATGGTTTTCTTTTTTTATTTATTTAATAGATATCCAAACCAAATTAACATGCTGATTCATTTTTCACTGGAGCTTGCTTTTCTCACTACTTAACAACCCACACACAGACAGAAGGTTCACAATATTTATTATAGCAATATTATTTTTCCCTAAAATGCTGCATTAAATCTGAGGAGAATTACATGTAAATATTCATTTTATGTCACTTCCAGAAACATCTATATCTGTATCTACTGAACATTACCTATGTACAGCTTAATACAAAGTCATGATGTATACCTTAGAAAAGTACCTTCTGGAACCTGATTTAACAGTCCTAAAGTAAAACCTTAGCCAAGACTAAAACAAAATGGGAAGTTTTAGATAGCCATGAGCCAGTACGGTGAGTATGCCTCAATGGGTAGAGTGGAGGAAACTACTGTAGCGTTGCCTTGGCTCTGGGAAGAGCTGTAGCCTCCCAAGTCCACAATCGCCATGTACTCTAAGTGCCCAGGATCCACACGTCCACTCACGTGGCTTCCAAAGTATGTTAGAAAGTGATTCAGATCCAGAGTATGAAATATAAGGAGGGAAAGACTAATGTTCAGCAGTTGAGTAGTCAGCTGACATTTGCTGGGACAGGTGCATATAAGACACACACTCAGCAATTCTCAGAACAGCTAAGGGGATCTTCTTCTGTACCCTTAACATTACAGACGACAGATTAACTCTCAGCTTAGGTCTAGATACTAAGACCATTTCTAAAGCTTACCTTTCGGACAGGAGGTTTGGTTATGATGTCTTCAAAATTATCTTCTATTTTCAAAGTTTGAAAATTTTCATGTAATATTCCTATTTTCTTATCATTATCCCACCCTGCTGGACTGGAGAGAAATGCACATAAAACTATCAAATATTTACACTATCATTTTTTTCACTTAACCCATGGAACATTTTTGGGGAGTTAAGGGAGCACAGCACTATGGACTGGACATGTGGCAGCTTAGTGCATGCAGTGAAGTGCTCTACCATTGAGCTAGAGCCCCAGGGACCAATCTCGGGACCTCATGCATGCTAGAGAAGCATTCTAGCAGCCCCTCCCACAAAAGACTGTAAAACCAAGTCCACACTCCATTTCGGTCATCATATACTGTAACAACTGAATACACAGATGCACTAAAAAGGCACCTCACAGACAATTTAGCTAAAACAGCACAGAACTTGCAAAAGACAGGCAGTAAACTGAAAGGCAGTGAGATGTAGGTCCGGACAGGTTATAAACAAACTATCTATCCCCACCCACTTGTCACGAGGGCCTCCCAGTCCCATCTCAAAACGGAACACGGAGCCTGAGCAACAGCACATTATAAACTGTGCTTGAGCACACTTACATAAACACTGCATCCTTTTCCACCACCACCGCAGGGATCTTGTAGGGGAACCCGTACAGCTTCTGGACGATGTATTTATAAACTAAGTCTATGTTCTTGTTCTCTTTTACTGAAGTGTAAATAAGTGCTGCACCATCTAGTCATCTCATTAAGGAAAAAAGCATGAGATTCATGAAGGTACCATAAACCATGTTTTCAGCTTAACATGCACATTCATATGCACAGTGTGGCTTAGGAGGAAGTATACAGGGTATCTAATATGATGATACACTTAGCAAGAAGTTCTGAATTACCCAGCACTGAAAAGGAGAAGCAGGAGGACCAGAAGTTCAAAGTCATCTTCAGCAATACAGAGAGTTTAAAGACAGTCTGTGATATGTGAGACTGTCTCAAAAAAATTTTTTTTCAAAAGTAAAAAATACTTATGTGCTATAAGGAAAATAAAATATTTTTTTATAATTTAGTTTAGGAGGGTAGGTGTTTCATGAGGCTAAGAACTATAAGTAAATTTAACAATAATGACACCACTACCATATTTAAAGTACATGAAAATGCTGGGCATGGCAGGACACATCTGGAATCGTAGCACCAAGGAGGCTGAGGCAGAAGGATCATCAGTTTGCAGCCAGCCTGGATCACAGAGTGATGCCTTGTCTGAAAGGGGAATGAACGGGAGCAGAGCCTTAAGAGATGGTATGAGGGGTAAGAGTGCTTCCTGTGAAAGCAAGAGGACCCAGGTTCAAATCCAGCAACCATCTGGATCTAAAAGCTAAACATGTGGGAGGCCGAGACAGGTGGACCCTAGGAGCTTGTTGGCTGGCCTGGCCTGACTGGTGATCTTCAGATTCGGTAAGAAACCCTGTCTCAAAAGATAAGGTGGGCAGCAACAAAGAAGACTTCAGCATTCCCTGTCTGTTACACATATATGGCATGGACAAATACACCACACACACACACACACACACACACACACACACACACACACACACACACACACACACACGGATGGACGGAGAGACTGACTGGACGGATGGATGGATGGATGGATGGATGGATGGATGGATGGATGGATGGATACAGCTTTTTGGATTTTGAGACAGGGTTTCAGGATGTAGACCAGACTGGCCTTGAACTCATTATACAGCCCAGGCTAGCCTCAAACTCCATTCTATTGTCTCAGCCTCCTGGGTGCTGGGATTGCAGGCATGCTCCACCATGCCTGGCATAGTTTTCAGTCAGGTAGACTGACAATATACTACATTGTAATTTTCCACATATACCTGTGTATTAGTTGCTTTTTTGTTGCTGTGGTAAAGCACCAGAACCAAGGCAACTTATAGAAGGAACAGTTTATTTGGCTTACAGTTCCAGAGGGAGAACAGTCTGGCATGGCAGGGAGGCATGGCAGCAAGCAGCAGGATGGAACAGGATGCCAGTTCACATCCTTTACCACAAGCACAAAATAGAAAAAAAGTCTGTGCGTATTTTAACGCTAAAATCAATCTATCCATTTATCTATCTATCTATATCTATCTATCTATCTATCTATCTATCTATCTATCTATCTATCTATCTATCTATCTAAGGCATATACTATCTATCTATCTATCTATCTATCTATCTATCTATCTATCTATCTAAGGCATATACTTATAGGTATCATACGTAATTTTAGGTAAATATAAAATACTGTGGTTCCTAGGCTCTGTTGGGGGCTTGCTTGCTTTTTCTCTACAGTTTGGCTGGTTGATATGTGTGGAGTGTGTGTGTGTGTGTGTGTGTGTGTGTGTGTTTTGGAAACAGACTGTGTAGTCTAGGCTAGCCTAGAACTTAAAACCTCCTGTGTCAGTGTCCAGGTGCTTGGGTTACAGGCTGTCCCTCTACACAAAGCCCATCTGCAGTGACACACTTCCTCCAACAAGGCTGCACAGTCTAACCTCCTCCACCAGCACTACCAACTGGGAACCAGTATTCAAACAGACGAGCCTATGGGGAACAGTCTCACTCAAACCACCACAACCTGCAATTACTTTCTTAAGCACAATTCTTTAAACGTGGCAAATTAACGTTACACATGTAACAGAGCAGGCAAGAGCCATTAGTTGTGCCCCTCTTCCCAATCTTCCCCCCAATTTTTTAATGAACCATCCCTTTAGTGTGCTACTATAGACAAAGAGGCTTCTGTAATGACCCTTTTTCTTCAGTTCACATGAACTGACTTCAGAAAAACGACGTGTCTGTTTTAAAAACAAGAAAAAAAAAGTCAACACTGTAGATGCTGACCCAGATGGCTTTTTTCATGGGGAGATGCCCACCCAGAGCTGAATGTAGAGGTACAGCCCATAATCCCGACACTTAGAGGCTGACTCTCTCTCTCTCTCTCTCTCTCTCTCACACACACACACACACACACACACACACACACACACACACACCAAAACTCCAGAGAAAAACAGCCAACCCCCTCCCCCAGCCTCGGGATGTCCTGCTCATTCTCTCACTGGCCACCTTTTGTGTCCCATAAAAGCCCTTAGTATCTCTGTGCCCTTCTCCCAAGACAGAGACTTGAGAACAAACCTGCTCAGGACCAGCTTTGAATAAGTCTGTTTTTTCCCATTTACTTCTGTCTCCATCTCCCATATTTTCAACAGAGCAGAGAGAGCAGCACAAATTTAACACTACAGCAACACCTCAGACACCTGCATGTAAGTGACCTGGCAAGTGGACCGGTGGACTAATACTCACAGACTTTCTAAAGTCATCCTAATGGGTCTGCTTGTGGGGCACTGTTAAAGGATACACTGTAAACAGAACTTGCGGATGTGTGACTGGATAAAATCGAAGTGTTCATCTCTGTAGTCATGCTCTTTCTCCAATACACTAATGGCATCACACTGTGGATATAAAGCAATCATAAGACGGCATTACAGTAACTTTAATTTAAACACTGAAATCCAATAGGATAATGTAAACAACAAACAGTTCAATGTTTGAGAAGAGAACATAACAAGTTACCAGTACACTATGGTAACCGACTAACAGAACCTGGAATATCAAGAGACATCCTAAACAGCACTGGCTTCTGTGTTACACTCCATCTGGCCAGGATGCTGCAGACAGTTCCACTACATGAAAGAATAAAGACCAACAGACTTATGTCCAGTGGTCACATCTGCCATTCAGCCACCAATCTCCTAAATGAATGAGCTCATCCAACCCGACGTCAGCTCTACAGAACACAGCTATGTATTCCCTTCCACCCGTGGCCCTTCCCTCTTTCCTGGTGCTTCAATCACCTCATCACAGACTCACCATAACAAAGCGAGGCTGCCTGTGAACCACCACCTGCACAGTTAACAAGAATAGTTCTTCCTTGCTACAGAAAAACACTAAGGACAATACCACAAGGCATGTTCAAACACCATGACATCCAAATAATCTCACTGAAACCCTTCCAAATTCAAAGTGTAGAATATATGGGCTGAAGAGATAGCTCAGGGGTTGAGAGCACTGGCTCTCTTCCAGAGGTCCCGGGTTCAATTCCCAGCACCCACATGACAGCTCACAACTGTCTGTAACTCCAGTTCTAGGGAACCTGACACCCTCATACAGACACACATGTAGGCAAAACATCAATGCACATAAAAAATAAATAAATCTTAAAAAAAAAGAAAGTGTAGAATATAAAAAAGTAAACACTGTATATTGTTAATTATTATACGCAACAGTCTGGAGTCAAATTTCATATATAGATTTGTTACACATACATACATTATAGAACAGTCTTCCTAGATAATCATGAACACTAGCTTGACCATTTTAAATACTACTGGGTGACATTTCAAATGATTAAAGACATTTTATTATACTGTTGACATACTGGTGAAGTTCGGCAATTTAGTAAATAGCTTTTAACCTAAATAAGGGACTGGAGATGTAGCTCAGTGGTAGAGTATGTGTTACCTCCCAGCATCCTCTCACTCCTTAGAAAGGGTTAACCGAGTCAGGCGTGGTGGCACACTATATTTCATAAAATCTTAAGACACCGTGAGGTGTACTTTATATACATACTTTAGCGCATGAGCTTTAAAAAAGTGTGTGTGGGGGGGGAGAAAACAAAACAGAACCTGGAATATCAGTATAAGAACACCAAGACTGTGTGTCCTTAAAGGGATGGAAATGTGACTCAACTACATCAGCCTAAAGAATGACAGTGCAGAGGCTGCTGAAGTGACTCAGGGGGTGGCACTTGCCAGTTGACATCAGGCATTCTATCCCAGGTCCCAAATAGTCGAAGAGAGAGCCGCTGCCCACAAACTGTCCTCAGACAATTTGGTCACTATAGAAAAACTCACACACACATAAGACACAAATGCTTTTTATGCACTAAATTGTAGTTCCAAAATACTGATGTATTTACCAATAACCAGGGTCAAACAAACATGAACTACACACAGATTCCAGTGTATATAAAATAATGTTCTATAGAAAAGATGTAACAATGCATTACACCCAAATCACCACTTGAAAATCAGGTAACAGGTTTTTGGTTTTTCTTTTTTTTTTTTCCTAAGATTTATTTATTTATTATGTACACAGAAGAGGGTGCCAGATCTCATTACAGATGATTGTGAGCCACCATGTGGGTGCTGGGAATTGAACTCAGGACCTCTGGAGGAATAGTTGGTGCTCTTAACCTCTGAGCCATCTCTCCAGCCCGGTTTTTCTTTTTCTTTTTTTGGTTTTTCGAGACAGGGTTTCTCTGTGTAGCTTTGCGCCTTTCCTGGAACTCGCTTTGGAGACCAGGCTGGCCTCGAACTCACAGAGATCCACCTGCCTCTGCCTCCCAAGTAGTGGGATTAAAGGCGTGCGCCACCACCGCCCGGCCAGGTAACAGGTTTTAACTCATCTAAATACTTCCATCCTACTCCTTAGTTACTGATAAGTTTTATAAAATTTAAAATAAAACTTAAGCCAGGTCATTAGGGGTTTGTTTTGTTTTTAATCATTTTTATCCCAAAGATGAGCAGATTTCTGCACTTTCTTCTCATTATATGCACTTTTCCATAGTATAAAAAACAGGGATAAGGCTAGAGAGATGGCTCGGAGATTAAGAGCATTGGCTACTCTTCCAGAGGTGCTGAGTTCAATTCCCAGCAACCACATGGTGGCTCACAACCACCTGTTATGAGATCTGGTGTCCTCTTCTGGTCTGCAAGGACACATGCAGGCAGAACACTGTATACATGATAAATAAATATAAAAAAAAAAAAAAGCAGGAATAATTTCAGGCCTTTAGGGTTCTGTTAGTTCAAGGAGTGGGGCTCAATGGCAGAACATTTGCCTAGCATATTCAAAGCCCTGTGTTTTGATGGAATGGAATAGAACAGTTTATGTCCTGACACTTTCTCAACTATTCTACAATAGACAAATAGTAAAAACACATTACTTAGGACTAAGTGGAGAGAAAATGGGCTTAGCAGATAAGTTATACTTCAAAAGAAGTATCTTTTCATTACAAAATATATTCAGTATAAGATAAGGTCTAGCTATGTAGCACAGGCTGGTCTGGAACTCATGAGCTTCCTGCTTCCTAAAAGCTGGAATCCAGGTGCATATGCCACCATGCCCAGTAAGCCAACAGACTTTGAAAACGTGATTCTGTCAGCGCCTTTTAATAAATACACAGCTAACAAGTTCTTAATAACGGCATACCAACATTACATAACAGGGGATGAAAGTCAGCTGGAGGCGGGCAGCGGTGGCGACGCCTTTAATCCCAGCACTGGGAGGCAGAGGGAGATGGAGCTGTGACTTCGGGGCCAGCCTGGTCTACAGAGTGAGTTCCAGGACAGGTTCCAAAGCTAAACAGAGAAACTCTATCTCAACCCTCCCCACAAAAAAAAAATCATCTAGGAAAACTAACACTCCAAAAACAAAGCAGCTGCGTGCTGTTCGAGACTCCCAGGAAGCAAACTGACCTTTGTGCAGACCACGAGTACCGGGAGACCCAGGTTGTGTGTGAGTGTGTCTGCACCCAGCGGGAGGACAACGCTGTCATCTCTGTCCTCCTGCGCAGCTGTGGCTCTTCGCTGAGGGGAAGCTGGGAAGTCTTCTCCTGGCTCCACGTACTCTTGGAAGTCTCTAATCACTGCAAGTCCAAGTAAAGATGGTTTAGAAACGGCACTAGGTGAGCCTCCGCTATTTCTGCCACAATCTAAATCTACTTTTTCTGGGCTTAGATACCATCTTACATAGGAAAAAAAACAAACACTGACTTTATGGGCCCATGTTACTGGTTTTTTGTTTGTTTGGTTGGTTTTTTGGTTTATGGAGACAGGGTTTCTCTGTAGCTTTGTACCTTTCCTGGATCTCACTCTGTAACCCAGGCTGGCCTCAGACTCACAGAGATCCACCTGCCTCTGCCTCCTGAGTGCTGGGATTAAAGGTGTGGGCCAGCACCTCCGCCACCACCGCCTGGCTCACATTACTGGTTTTACAGCACAATTCCCCACTGACGACTCTACACAGTGGGGCTCTGTGCAAGGTCAGTTAGTTGTATAGGACTTTGGAGGCCAGAGAGATGGCTCAGTAGTAAAGGTAGCTGCTGCCAAGCCTGGTGACTGAATTTGATACCTGGGACCCACGAAGTGGAAGGAGAGAACCAACTCCTACCAATTGTTCTCTGACCTCTGACCTCCACAAGCACTTGCACCTGGATCCACACACACAAGTAAAAAAGACAACTGATTGTATTTAGTGTGTATCCTGCATATAGTCTCCACACGTGCGCACACGCACACGCACACACACACACACACACACACACACACACACACACACACACACACACACACTGAACCTTACACCCTCTGCCTTCTTTAAAGGCCAGACACTGCAGGAATTAGAGAAAACTAAATAAGGTAGAAAAAAAAATCTACAACTCAAGCATAGTACTGGGGCTGGAGAGATGGCTCAGCACGTAAGAGCACTGGCTGCTCTCCCAGAGGACCTGAGTTCAATTCTCAGCATCCACAAGGTGACTCACAATCATCTGTAACTTCAGTTGCAAGGGATCTGATGCCCTCTTCTGGTCTCCATAGGCATTCCACACACATGGCACAAAGACAGACATGCATGCAAAACATCCATACACATAAAATAAAATTTTTAAATAAAAAAAAAAAAAACAGTGCTTACTGAGCATGGGAGAATACACCTGTTTTTCTAGCATAACCTGAGTGGGAGTAATTCAGACTGTCCTTAAATCCTAGAGCTGGAGTTACAACATTGTGAACTGCCCATGGTGCTGAGAACCAAATTCTGCAAGAGCAATATGTGCTTTTAAATGCTGAGCCATCTTTCCAGCCTCTCCACTTTATGTTTTTTGAGACAGGGTCTCTTGCTGAACTTGTAGCTCACGTCTTCAGCGTGGCTAGCTTGTCTCTGCATCCCAAGTGCTTAGATTACAAATATGTTGTAACTCCAGCTCTAGGGGATCCAAAGTCTTTCCCTGGACTCTGTTAAGGATCTGCATCACATGTGTACATTTCTTAAAACATGCACACGAAATTAAAATAAAAGGGATCTACATGCACAAGTCTACACAAACTCACACATAACACACACAAGAGTATGAACTAGAAGCAAACACAGTTCTAGTACAAGCATGGATTAGGGGTTAGGGGAGGGAAACGACTCTACAGGCTATGACCATCAATGAAAGAAAACTACAGACTAAAATCTTTTAGGACAGTCAGGTGTGTGGCATATGCCTGTAATCTCAGCATTGGGAAGAAAAGCATGGAGATTTCAAGTCTGTGTCCAACCTAAGCTACAAAGGGAGACACTGTACCAAAACCAAACAAACATATACGTAACACTCTAATGTACTCTATAAATAACAAAACCAACTTAACGTCTTTTTATTTATGTTAACATCTTTTCATATTGACAAAGTTGATAAGACTACTAGTCACAAAACCTCTGGAAGTGAGCAACTGAAGAAAGGTTCACATTTTAGCCATAAAAATGATCTTTCAAAATGAATACACAGCAATAAAACACACTTCTACCAAGGAATTTACTATATTATATATACATGTAATATATGTATATATTAAATATTAAAAGTCAGTGCATCATTCAAGTTGAATTTCAAAATGATAGTCACATTATATTTCCTTCACTGAATCTTGTTTGTAGAAAAGACAATCAAAATGACTTTTATAGCCAGCTAAGATAGCTCCATCAGAAGCCCACGTTAGTATTTCTGACCACTCACACTTCTGCTCCATTTCTTTCATCTCCTCAGGGGGTATTTTCAGCTTGTCAACGTGCTCTCTCACCACACTTGCCCATTTCTGTAAGGAATCCAAAGCAGTCCAAGGCTTTGACATATCAACGACCAGTATAACCAGAGTGTCCTTCAGAGAAAGAGCATCCAGGGAGAACTTGAGTAGCCCTTTGTGATACAGGTCTCCATCCAAGATCCATACATTACATCTCGTTTGATCTATAAAGACAAAAGAATCCACACCATTTCTTCTAGCAGCACTATTAAGTCATTTGATTATCCACAAGAGATGTCTGTTATAATCGACAAAGTTCAACTATTTGGGTCAAGTATGGCAATTCAGAAAGGCCTAAAATGATGTAACAGGTAACTATAGGACAGAGCACCCCTTCTCTATTTCCTATTCCTTACTCGAGGGCGAGACATTAAATACCACGTTCACATTTTACCATCAGCAGATAGAGATATACACACTCAAGAAATTACACAAAAAGGACAATGGCCTATAGAAGAAAGAAAGACTGAGCAAATGAAAACAACTATGGGGATGATTACATTATTACGGGAAAATGAGGAAGAGGTGAAAAGGGGGTAGGCAAAACAATCACCACTGTGCAGGAGAACCAACTTCAAAACTGAGGGTTTTTTTTTTAAGGATGGCGAGAGGGCTAACATTCCACATGAGGGTGCTGTAAGATGCTTAAAGCCATACAATCTGAAACTTGACTTCACATCATTAGATGTCTAGACATAACTATTCACTGACCCAAGTGACATCCCAGATCTGCTGAGCAATGACAAACTGGAGAAAAGCCAACTGCAGTGGAGAATAGCAGGGTCCCCCCAAGTTGACTTCAGGAGGCCAGTGTCACACAAGCCACACTTACCATCCCGGTCTTCATCATGCACGTTTAAATACAAATACTCCAGGCCTCTTCCTTTCTTGTACTCCTCTATTCCCTGAATTTTTCTTATTAAGCTTGTTTTTCCAGCTCCATCTTCACCTAGATAGATAATTTTTAAAAAAGAAGAGAAAAAGTCTGTTTTAATTCTAATATGGACCAAGGACACTTCCTGGCATCATGTGAAAAGCCAGCTCAAGTGGCATCAGCCACAAAAGTAATCCGATGGAAGATAGATGGGCAGCTGTACCATTGAAAACAAAGTCTCCATACCAGACTCTCTTCTCCCAGTACTGCTATCACTCTTGGTAAATCTTTTCCATCCTGCTATAAATGGTGTCTTCTGTGGGGACAAAGTGGAATGCCATGGCATCAGGAAATGCTACATTTACATCATCCTAGTTTAATCTATAAGGAGCAAGGGGTTCCCTCTTAGCCTTCAGTCTGAAGAATCTCAGCTACAAAGAGACAGCATTTTTGTTATGTGGTGTCTCTTCACAGCAAAGAAAACAACCACATAAACCTGGAATGATGGTGCACGTCTGTAATCCTGTACTTAGTAGGTAGAGCAGAAGGTTCAGAAGTTCAAAGTCATCCTCAGCTACGAAGTCTGAACATAGGCTACATGAAACCTTGTATATTTTTCTTCACTTTATTTTTATTTTATGTATGCAGGTACTTTGCCTGCATGTATGTCTGTGCACAAGGTTCATGACTGGTGCCAGTGGAAATGAGAAAAGGCTGTCAGATCCCCTGGAACTAGAGTTACACATGGTTGGTTGTGAGGAGCCACATAGGTGCTGGGAACTGAACAGGGGTCCTCTGGAATAGCAGCCAGTGTTCTTAATGGCTATCCCATCTCTCTAGCCTATTTTCATTTTCATGTTGAAAGAGGAGGAGGAGGAGGAGGGTTAAAGGAGGAAAAGATGATGAAGCAGCAGCAGCAACAGCAGCAGCCAAGGCCACTTGTGTCATAGATCTGAATGACTGCCTCTATTCTCTGAATGCTGACACAAGATGATAGTGGCCACCTGTCCACTGTTCATTAGTTTTTTCTTCCTTCCTTCCTTCCTTCCTTTCTTTTTGGTTTTTCAGTATAGCCCTAGCTGTCCTGGAACTTGTACTGTAGACCAGGCTGGCCTCGAACTCACAGAGATCCACCTGCCTCTGGCTCCCAAGTGCTGGCATTAAAGGTGTGCATCACCACACTGGGCTCACTGGTGTTTCTAATCATGGTGTCAAGAGGAAACAGAGGTGAGACAGGAAAAAGAGAAGAGAATGGCAACACAGGCACATCCAACTCAAAACAAAGTGTTCCTGGGGGGTTATTGGAAAGATGGCTCAGTGGTTAAGAGTACCTGAGTTTGGTTCTCAGCACCCACAACAAGCGGCTCAGAGCTATCTGTAACTCCAGGCCCAGTGGGATCCAACAGGCATCAGCACATACTCATACGAAGACACACACACACACACACACACACACACACACACACACACACACACAAATTAAAATAAAGTAAACCTAATTAAAGTTTAAAAAAGCAAAGTATTCCAGATGCCAAGTGTCTTAGGTTTCTAATGCTGTAATAAAGACCATGACCAAAACCAACTTTGGTGTGTAGGGGTATTTCACCTTAGAGCTTTGAGTCATCATTCAGGGAAGTCAGGGCAGGAACTCAAGACAAGAACCTGGAAGCAGGAACTGAAGCAGGGACCATGGACCAGTGCTGCTTACTGGTTTGCTCTTTCTGCTTTCTTTTTTATATCTTTATTTTATTGAATGAATGTTTTGCCTACATGTATGTCTGTTCACCATGTGTGTGCCTGCCCTGTGGAGGTCAGAAGAGGGCATCAGATCCCCTGGAACAGGAATTACAGGCTCTGCAAGCCTGTATGCGTGTTGGGAATTGAACCTGGGTCCTCTGCAAGAGCAGCCAGTGCTTTTAACTTTTGAGCCATCTCTCCATCCCTCTTAGCTTTCTTATAACCATAGGACCAACTGTCCAGGGAGGGAATGGTCCATAGTAGGTTGGGATTTCCACATCAATCAAAAAAATGTTATACAGCTTGCCTACAGGCCAATATGACGGAGGCATTTTCTTAGTTGAAGTTCCCTCTTCTTTGATGACTCTAGCTTGTATTGAGTAGAGAAAAAAAACTAACCAATACACATCAGAAGTAATGATGCTTGTGTAGCTGGACTTTTCTTGCGGGGTCCGTGATGCTGGGCAGGACTGGAGAAAAATCCAGCTACATGCATGCCTATAATCCCAGCACTTAGTAGACTGAGGCAATGGAATGAGAGCTTGAGGCTAACCTGGGCTACACAGTTAATTCAAAACCAGACTATAGATACTACAAGCAAAAGAAGGTACCTCACAACATTTACTACCATATTATATCTGTAGTTGAAGACTGGTTATTTCCATGAATCATTTTCCAACACCTCATTATTAGTAAATACAACCATAAGTATCTCTCAGAATTTTGACATGATATACATACTTACATACATATACACATAAATAATACATACGTACATACATATTAAATGAGATCGGCATGTTGAAAAGGCATTTGCACTCCATTGTTCATTGCAGCATTATCCACAATGCCAAGATATGAAACTCAACTTAAGAGTCATCATCAGATGAATAATAGATAGAAAATTCAGTAAAACCAGGCATGGTGGTACATATCTATAATCACAGCATTTAGGATTTGGAGGCAGGAGGATTATAAATTGAAAAACAACCTCAACTTTATGAGTTTGAAGCCAGTTAAGGCTACATGAGACCCTGCCTCAAAAAATAAAAAGAGGGACTGGAGAGATGGCTCAGAGGTTAAGAACGCTGGCTGCTCTTCCAGAGGCCCTGAGTTCAATTCCCAGCAACCACATGGTGGCTCACAACCATCCCTAATGAGATCTAGTGCCCTCTTCTGGCATCCAGGCATATATGCAGACAGAACACTGTATACATAATAAATAAACAAATTTAAAAAATAAATAAATAAAAAGAAGCATATAGATATACAGGAGATTGCTACAGAGTCATAAAAGAAATCCTAAATTTGTGAAAACATGAAATGAACTAAGAGAACACAATGTTAAGTGAGATAAGCCAGGCACAAAAGACAAATACCACAGGAATTTCCCTTCTATATGGAGCTAGAGACTGAGCCCACAGTGTGCAATGCTTGTTCCCAGGATCTGGGGAACTGGTGAGGCACAGATCACAAAGATCACAAAGTCTCAAGTAGAAAGGGAAAGTAGTATCAGGGTTCTCCTGCGCTGCTGTAAGCACCAAGACTTGCAGCACCCTGCAGCGTGTGTGAGGACTGCCCAGAGCATGTGGAGGCTTCTCATCACAAGACCGGCAACATACAACATGACAAGCCATTGCCCAGGGTGCATATGTCCCACACAGTATGTTGTGCACAGCAAGCATGTATAATTTTACCTAATTAAAAAAAGAATGTGGCAATTAAATGAGTATTCCATGCTACTTTTATGGTATACTATTAAACTAGCCATCAAAACAATAGATTAGGTTAAAAACAGTAATATCTATGATAATAACAGTAATTCCCATGATAAATCATCATGCTTAAAAGCCAGAGATAAAGCTAACTGCTGTAATGTGGGATATGTTGAAAGTGTTTGCTATATTAGTCTTGCGATTGAAATTCTCTTAGCTCTATATAGCATTATAGCATTTAACTTACAGCTTTCAAGCATTTAATTGTTTGAAAGCTATAAGGAAGAAAATTTCTATCCATCACCTCAGGAGGCTGGAGTAGATCCTCACACTAAAGATAATTTGAATCACCATGTTCAAAGAGCTATAGGAAAGCTTAAGAGATCTGTGCCTGCCTACAAACCACCAACTAGAAATTTAAAACAAAACAAAAAAAAAGCTGTGTTAGTTTTGGCACATGCCTTATAATCCCAGCACTTAGGAGGCAGAGCCAGGTTGATCTCTGTGAGTTCGAGGCCAGCCTGGGCTACAGAGTAAGTTCCAGGACAGCCAGGGCTACACAGAGAAACCTTGTCTCGAAAAACAAAAGAGAAAATACAAAACTCCACCTGCTCCAGTCACTGTCCTAAGAAGTAAGGAGCCTAGCGATGCCTGAAGTCAGACAGCTCTGCAACTAATGCAACACTGCAGCCAAAGCCTGCAGGCCTCATTAACCACCGGAGTTAATCATTCAGGAAGAGAAAAGGAGTGCAGAGACCCAGGCAAAGGAGTGTCCTTCTAACAAGGACAAATAAACACTTGGCATGGTGGCACAGCCTATAGTCCCAGCACTGTGTGAAGTGAGGTAGGATCCCAAGCTGGAGGCCAGCATGCCAGGCTATGTAGAAAGTAGACCAAGGAGGCCAGCTGGAGGCCAGCATGCCAGGCTAAGAAAGTTAAACTGTCCTTAAGACGACAGCTGGGGAGCCACCAGCAGTTTAGATATTTTAGAAAGATTGCGTGGCAGAAGCCAGGAAGCCAGACTCACCCAAGATTAAGTCTGGGACAGGCCTAGTGGCACAAGTCTGTAGCCACTGCTATTCAGGAGGCTAAGGCAGGAATATTTCAAGTTCAAGTCTTGCCCTAATTACAGAGTGAGTTCAAGATCAACCTGGGCAACTTAATGAGACCTACCTAAAACAAAAACAAAACTAAGATGGCCAACAGGAGTAAAGGCACTTGCCACCAAGCCCAACAACCCGAGTTTAGTCCCTAGGACCCACAAGATGGAAGGAAAAGAGAACTGAGTCCTGTAAGTTGTCTTCTGACCTCCTCAACATGCCAGGGCGTGCACACCTGTGTACAGGGGGTGGGGGACGAACATATATGTATACACAGATACAGACACACACACACACACACACACACTTTCTCTCTCCCCCAAAACAAATTAACGAGAGAGAGAGAGAGAGAGAGAGAGAGAGAGAGAGCGCTAAGGCTGTAGCTCTGTAGCTCTGTGACAGAGCACTTAGCTAGATGAATCTGGCAGCACGTTCTATCCCTAGAACCACCACAGTAACAACAATAACAAGTCAAACTAACCGACTTCGCCTCTGCTGGCTCTTCTCACAGAACTCCCCAGCA